GCAATTCCTCGGCTTAATGCAGACTCAGAATTTTCTTATTTTTACTCAACAGCAATTTACTCAGATATTGTACTCTTACTGCGCACAACCTTACTGGTGTTACATTACTTTAAATATAGTTACATGACAACTCTTTGCTTTACTTAACTGCAACTCCAGGTGGGTACTTCTACTTCACCCACATCTTCTAGTGGTACATTTCATTACAGTTACCAGGCTTTACTCATAGTACCAAGTGGACAACTTTGCTTCTCACACAATACTAGGTACTTTCCATTACATCCAGTTATAAGACAAACTGGCATATGATACTTCACAGACTGTTGGTAGTGCATAGGAGATGCACTCACACACAACACGTTAATACTGATACCAACAAATACAACATGGGTTCACTACCCAACATGGGATAATTATCTCCAAAATAATTATCCCCAAACACATACAACAACACTGTGGATCATAACTCCAAGGCATGTCCCAGGGTATAGCACTGGCGCCTGTAACACTGACGATCGCTGTTGTGGTCGGTTAGCCAGACACATGGCGAGTCTGGGGTCTGGCTCCACGAGGCAGTGGAGCTGATCAATCATGCCGAATCAACGACATCGTCCATATATTGATCCCTGCTATCGTTGAATGTTCAAATAAGCCCACCCTGGACCTGGGGAACAACGGGAGAGAAGGCGTCACGGGAGAAGCATGAACAACACAATCACAACAAATCTTTCATCTTGCAACGTCAGACGACATTTACTTTATATTACTTCTTACACTGGGTGAATGACAATTCAACTGTTAAAGCATGAACACTGATGAACACTGATATTCCCTACAAAGACTAAATCAAACTGAATGGCTAGGGAACACATCTACATACCTGGGGACAAATGGGAGAGGACGTCACAGGACGCTCTCTCCCCCTTACCCGTGGTATATATACCCCTGAGTTGCTAGCGATCTCTAATTCACGCAATGACAGAAATTACAAACAAACCAACTGTTGCTCATTCAAGGATGACCCTCAGTTGACAAAGGTCTGGCGAATTACTTGAGTTGATTTACACAGACTAATTCAAGATTGAGCTTGACAGGAGAGAATGGAGTAACAACGTTGTGACAACTGTCTTCGAAGGTGGGACTTACTGGGAGGGATCATGAGTGTAAGCGTCGATCGGGAAAAACACGTCTCTTCTTAGGAATAGCTAACCCACTCATGTTTTGCGTGGTGTAGTGTAATAAGAATCAGGTTCTAAAACAGACTAGCAGTCAATGTGACCATGACAAGTGAGCACCAAGCAAGTGTTGTTACTGACAACTGTGGGCGCTAGACTGAGAACGTAAATTATTATATATAGCTCCAATATAATATATTAATAATATTTATTCAGTAAAACTGTCATACAGGTTTATATTTGGATAAGCATGTTTATAGAGAGTACAGCTATACAGTGCTGCATCAATATAGACAATGTACAGTATGCGGTGCAGGTAGGCCGTGGGAGTATACTGTTACCTGTGTACCGAGACAGTGTAGGTAAACAGTAAGGCAACTTGACCAAGGATAGTTAAGAAAGCTGTCAACTGCTTATTTCCAGGAGGGTCCTTTAAGTTTATATAATATACATTTTCCCTGGGATGAAGTTTCTTCGGGTGATCCGTCTAGTTTAAAGGAATACTCAAGGTGGCGAATTACTGACACTGCTTAAGCTCTTGGTCAGGCGCCATGTTTGTTCCTTGACTAACTCAGTGTATCCTGGTGTAGATGACGTCACCTTGTGTTGATGACGTCACCTTGTGTTGATGACGTCATCTTGTGTTGATGACGTCATCTTGTGTGTTGATACCCTCAGCCCGTGTTAATGACGTCAGCCCATGTGTCAATAACGTCAGCCCATGTAAAAATAACGTCAACCCGTGTGTTAATAACGTCAGCCCATGAGTTAATAGCGTCAGCTTTTGTGTCAATAACGTCAGCACATGTGTTAGTAACGCCAGCTCGTTTGACGTCACTTCCCGTGTTGATGACGTCATCCATTGTGTCTGTCTCAAATTGTGAATAATTTGAGCACTTCGGGATCTCCCAGTGGTTAAGCCAGGTCAAAGGTCAATGTAACGGGGGACGCGGGGTCACTCAGTCAGGCGGACGTACCTCAACCACTGTTAGGTCGACAATGGAACTTCCTCCTCTGTATCTAGTGTCTGTTCGTTATGGAAATGTCACCCTTGCCCCCCACCCCCTATATGACGTATGGCTTTGTGATTGGATAACGTGGCAGGAAACTTTAGTCAGTCTCCAGCACTTCATTGTTTGGTTTCTAATTGGCCAATCACAAGCCAGGGCGAAAGAAAGAGAGCCAATCACAAGCAAGACAAGAGAAAGAGGGCGGGGCTATATGACATTTCCATAATGAAGAGAATGTCACTAATTGGATCACCTGGAGATTAACATCCCACCTTATTTTTACCTGATTATTAAAGCACACTAATGTTAACCCAGCCCAAACCCACCCAACCTCACGTAACATAAGATTAGCCTTTTTTTTATTTTAACATTAATCTACGTGTGAATTATAAATATAAAATAATTCTAAAGACATTTTTATACATCTCTGGGAGTTGTCTACACGGATGAGAGATTCAGACTCGTGAGCCCAGAACATTAGACTGATACATTATTCTCCCCATAAGTGATTCGGATTCATGAGTCTGAATCTCTCGGGGGTTCGTAGTTCAGGGGGAGAGACGAACGGACTTTTACCCGCCTGACCTTAATGCATTTCCTGAACACGAGGCAAGTGGGCTTTTTCAGCGTTGCTTCTCAGAATGTTCGTGACAATGAGGTGAGGTTTAATATACACTTACCTGAATCGGTTTTGTAAATATTTAGTTATAATAGCTAGGTTTTGTTTCAGCCATAGTGGGAAAAATCCTTGATATTAATATTTTTTTAAGTTAATTTTATGTAATTTTATTTTATTATTATTATTATTATTATTATTTACGTTTGATTTCACTCTTAAGTGGTGTAGTATCTTCGTCACTAAGTTTGGAAAGCGAGAGTTCCGGGCTACAACATTACCACCAAGAAGGTAATGTTTGTATCTGGTATGAGTTAGTACCAAAATCCTCCTGCCTCAGTATTGCTAAATATAGTGTACTGTACTGCAAGAAGTGTGCCTGCGATCTCTCTCTCTGTTCCTCACCCGTTCCCTCCCTGTCATCTCTCCCACCTTTCCTCCCTGACGTAGATACTTGAGAGCTTTTATACTGGTTACAATAATTCCATTCCTCTCATTCCTCGTTCAGTCCCAGAATTGGTGTTTAGAGAGAAAAAAAATAACAATATTTCTCCCCCGAGACGCCTCTCTTACACGGTGAAAATAATGAACCTTACACAATGTTGGTAAATTTAACGAGGGAATTATTTTCAACATTAACGAAGCCGTTTTATTTTTAACATTCTATTATTAATACGAAAAGAAAACGGGGTGAAGTATTGGAGTTTTAACACAGGTGAGGTAGGTGGGTGTTATGTAGGGTAGATTATATCAACTTTAATGTTTCTTTTTTTGTTTTCTTAATTATCCCACCACCATTTCTTCATCCTTATTTCCTCCTCTTCCATCCCTCCCTCCCTAGCCCCTCTTCCATCCATCCTTCCTTCCTTCCTTCCTCCCTCCTCCCCTAGCCTCTCATCCTTCCCTCCTTCATCAATCCCACTACGTGTCAACCATAGGCCCAGTACTCATATTAAACACCGTACAGTATTATATCATTAGTGGGTAAGTAATACAATATTATAAACTCTCGCTGTATTTTATTATATTTAGAATACATCACAACTACACAAGTAATGTATTAATAAAACACACCATACGAACATCCTTTAACAAGAATAATACTTTAATTGAGAAAAATAATCTTTTATTTTAATGTTACATCGAGAATGACAATACGACAGAGATTTAGTTCACAACAGATTTAAGTATCTTTGGTCTCTCTCTCTGTTTGCCGCCCTGGTGGTGGTGGCCGGCTGGTGGTGGTGGTGTTGGCTGGGCCCTGGTGGTGGTGGTGTTGCTGGCCCTGGCTGGGCCCTGGTGGTGGTGGTGTTGGCTGGCCCTGGTGGTGGTGGTGTTGGCTGGGCCTGGTGGTGGTGGTGGTGGTGTTGGCTGGGCCCTGGTGGTGGTGGTGTTGGCTGGGCCTGGTGGTGGTGGTGTTGGCTGGGCCTGGTGGTGGTGGGTGTGGTGGGCTGGCCCTGGTGGTGGTGGTGTTGGCTGGGCCCTGGTGGTGGTGGTGTTGGCTGGGCTGGTGGTGGTGGTGGTGTTGGCTGGGCCCTGGTGGTGGTGGTGTTGGCTGGGCCCTGGTGGTGGTGGTGTGTTGGCTGGGCCCTGGTGGCTGGGCCCTGGTGGTGGTGGTGGCTGGCCCTGGTGGTGGTGGTGGTGGCTGGGCCTGGTGGTGGGTGGTGTTGGCTGTGGTGGTTGGTGGTGGTGGTGTTGGCCGGGCCCTGGTGGTGGTGGTGTTGGCTGGTGGTGGTGTTGGTGTGGCTGGTGGTGGTGGTGGTGGTGGTGGTTGGTGTTGGCTGGGCCCTGGTGGTGGTGGTGTGGCTGGCCCTGGTGGTGGGGCCCTGGGGTGGTGTGGTGGTGTTGGCCCTGGTGGTGGTGGTGGTGTGTGGCTGGGCCTGGTGGTGTTGGTGGTGGTGGTGTTGGGGGTGGTGGTGGTGGTGTTGGTGTGTGGTGGGTGGTGGTGGTGGTGTTGGCTGGGCCCTGTGGTGGTGGTGTTGGCTGGGCCCTGGTGGTGGTGGTGGTGGGGCCCATGGTGATGGTGTTGGCTGGCCTGGTGGTGGTGGTGTTGGCAGGGCCCTGGTGGTGGTGGTGTTGGCTGGGCCCTGTGGTGGTGGTGTTGGCTGGGCCTGGTGGTGGGTGGTGGTGGCTGGCTGGTGGTGGGCTGGTGGTGGTGGTGGTTGGTGTTGGTGTTGGCTGGGCCCTGGTGGTGGTGGTGTTGGCTGGGCCCTGGTGGTGGGGGCTGGCGGAAGTGCGACTGTGGAAGTATTTTATTGATTACAGAGAAAAAAAACATTACTAATTGTTAGATAATTAGTTTAATGTTTTGTTTATATATAATTATACTGTAGAATAATTAAGATAGAATGAATAAAACTTTATATTATTGAGTAACTTGTGAATAAATGTTGATTATATTTTGGAATGATTAAGAATAACTGAATAAGACTTTACATGCGGAAGGAAGGGAAAGGTGTGGAGGGGAGGGAAAGGTGTGGAGGGAAGGGAAAGGTGTGGAGGGAAGGGAAAGGTGTGGGGGGAAGGTAAAGGTGTGGAGGGAAGGTTAAGGTGTGGAGGGAAGGGAAAGGTGTGGGGGGAAGGGAAAGGTGTGGAGGGGAGGGAAAGGTGTGGAGGGGAGGGAAAATAAGAATGGAGGAAACTGCAGCGGGCATATTGGCCCATACTGGGTAGTCCCATTTACACCCAACTCATATCACTCGTATATCCGTCCAACCTGTGTTTGAAGCTATCCAGCGTATTCGAGTTAATGATGATGTTTGGTAACTTGTTCCACTCATCCACTATTCTATTTCCAAACCAAAGTTTACCTACAGGTATTTCGCGCCTAAATCTAAATTTGTCTAATTTATAACAATTGTTACGAATTCGCTCCTGGTTGGATAGTTTGGGTACCTTTGTTATATCACCTTTGTTTAGCCCTGACTTCCATTTATACACCTCGATCATATCGCCCCTCACTCTACGTCTCTCGGGGGAGTGAAAATTAAGATGCTTTTCAACCTATCTCTGTACTCAAGGTTCCTAATGCCCGGGATTAGTCTTGTCATTCTTCTGTGCACATCACCATTGCTGTCCAGAACTGAACAATGTTTACTAGTAAGATATAGTTTTAGGCTAGGTATATCTGTATGGGTTGTTTCGACATTTATTTAATACTGACCTCTAGTGGTGACCTTAACTTCTCGCCTTGACCTTGACCTGTAGCAGTGACCTTGACCTCCAGTGATGATCTTTGACCTCCAGTAGTGACCTTTGACCTCCAGTGGTGACCTTTGACCTGGCCGCCTCCTGGTGAATCTGTAAAACTAAATTAGTGTCTATTATTATGTTTATGGATGGATAGAAGAATAAGTATCTACACAAAATAGAAATCGTTCTATTCAACGCAGTTAAGCGTTTGGTAATAGTTTTCCAGTGACCGTGTTTAGTGAAGGTGTTTCCGAATATGAAGTTAAATTATTAGTAGAGTAAAGTTTGTCACACGTTATAAGAGTTGGTCCTCCATTTAATGTGTAGCTTTTGTTGTCATGTTTACCCATAATAAAATTCATATTAATTCTCTGTTTTGATTTATGTTAAGTTGTTTTATTATTTCAGTGTTAATACCAGTTGGAACTTTCGATAAAAAAATGATAATATATTGGAATTACTGTACAAGTTCGTAGTCAGGGTGGTTGTCGGGGTCGAGCAATCCGGGTAACAGACATAGTTCAGTAATTATATTTTCCAGTCTTGTTAAGCCCATCCTACAGTCTGCCATCAGTACTGCAGTCATGTGTACCCACCTTCTACACTCCCCTTTCAATAAAATAACTTAATAAATCTATAATTCTGGATATAACATTTTAAATCTATCAAAATATACCTTAATACAGTATTTAATGTATTATAGTGTAGATGAACCAATGAAGATATGAGTGTAAAAACAGGTAACTACTTCACGCTCCCACGGTCTTCTCTTCGTAATCGAACTTCACAAAATTTACGAGGGACGCCCCGAAGCTCTCCACCCACACTCCCATCTCCTTCCGCAGTGACTAGGTCGTACCACATCCGCCTTTATACGTCACGACCTTGGGGGAGTTCTGGCTACGGCTCTTGAGTTATCGATGTGCTGCAGTTACCCCTAAAAGACAAGAGTTCTTAAAGGTAAATTATATGTTCTCATTTTCTAAGGGGAAACTGAAGCAAGTTGTCTTATTTTTTTATTGAAGTATAGTAGTAGGGTTAATGATAATGATGATAATGATAATAGAAGAGGAAGGATATAATGATGATAATGATAATAGAAGAGGAAGGATATAATGATGATAATGATGATGATAGCTTTTGTGTGTGTGTGTGTGTTAGTGCCATAGCGCCACCACCATGAAGCTATGGACTTAAAACTTTGCATTAGTTACTAAGGGGCATTAGAGTGAGGACCTTTGTGTTACTGTAGAAATTTGGCTTAGAAATTCAATCCCCCCCCCCTTCCCCTCCCTTTTATTCATACAGTACAAAAACATTTCCTTCACCTTGAACACCCCTCCCCCCCCCTGCCACCCTGCCAGACGTAGAAACACCTCCATCTGTACCAACACTTATCCGGTACTTATAAAACATCATCATACCCTAAACCAATGATTTATAAACCCTTATTGTAAATTAAAACTTTCATAATATACCCCAAACATAAATAAAGCATAAAACGATGGAGACACTGAAACAAAAATAAAGTTATTGAAATGTTTGTTTAGCCAAAAATGCACTTTTTCCCGTTTACTTTAGAGGCAAATAGTGGCTGCAACTTTTGAGAGTAAATTCCCCCAAATAACTAACTTAAGGTTTCATGCTCCAGTTATATATACACACATAAATGTTTACATCCTTACATACTTTATATAATACATATACATGGACAAATAAGTTATTTATGAATGTTATAACATGTCTTTACTTGCATATAATACATCTATGTATACTAATGCATCAACATTATCATTCGCAGTAATAGTCTTAGTGTGTCAGTTAACTTGCCACCAGAGATAAAGTGTTGTGCCATTGTACACACAGTATGCTTGGACCTGTCTCTAAAAGGATCTGTTTTCTCACAGTTCAGGACATAGTGTTGGAGTGTGTGGCCATCTGTCTGGCCACACACTTTACATACAGTTTTGGGTGCTATTATAGTATGCCGTCTACCGAGCTGGAGTTGATATCCCGGGATATTTACACTGTAGCGTCTATTAACCTAACCAAACCTAACAATCAAATATATTTTAACGTAACCTAACTTAATCTAATATATATCCTAATCTAACCTAATTTAACCTAACTTAACCTTATTTAGTATACCTTAACCTAACCTAAATTAACCTAACGTATCTTAACCTAATCTAACATAGATTAGGTTAGGTGTAAATATCCCTGTAGACACAACTCCAGCTCGGCAGACCGCATACTGTAGCAGCACGTAGATTCACATATGTTTGAAGGACATACTGCCAGAGTTACTTTTGCCCTAACCTTAGTCAGTTGATCTTATTTGTTACATCAACGGAGGTTGGTGTATGGTAGCGATGGAGTTAGTGATGATGGTGGTGTTGATGGTAATGCTGGTAGTGGTGGCGATGATGGTAGTAGTGGTGATGGTAGTGGAGGTAATAATAATGATGGTGGTGATGGTGTTGTTGGTGATGTCACTGGTAGTGTTGGTGATGATTATGGTGATATTCCATTAAAAATGACAGAAGTGACAATAGTGATGATGGTGGTAGATGCTAGTGATGAAGACTGTAGTGGTGATGCTGGTAGTAACGTTAGCATCACCAACAGCAGCAGTAGAGGCGCCCCGCAGAAGAGGTGCTGTTCTTAACTTTGGTAACCTAGCTTTATGACGTCGAGTACTCTCATACAGCTAGATAACCAAAGAGAAAATCAGCGCCAGCCCAGAGCCACTAGGTGTATGGCGAGCACTGCCGCCCTGACCTGACTCCGGGCAGGGTGGGGGGGGGGTGATATGGTGGCAAGGAGAGCGTGGTCCGTCAGCCTCTCGTTGCGTCGCCAAGATGTAGAATTCTGTTGAAGTTGACTGTCATTCTCCTTGATGCTGGCTGGAACTTAGAGCGTCACATGACTTATAAACCTCAAAGTTCCAACCATTTCGTGTTCCTTAGGTTATTCTTAGATACAGTTTATGACTTATAGGTTAAAGAAACTATCAGATAATTTACGAGAATGTTCGTACGCTGTATCTCAGTCGAAAACTTAAATACCTTTCTCACTTATATTTATAAACAAGAAAACAAATGCAATGAATTTTTATCTTTAATTGAACAAATCTAGCGTTGGATTTTCTTTGAGTAAATTATAAAATAAAAATACAATTTACGTTTTTGTAGCCTTGACAGTTATGTACCGGTAGTAGGTCTTATATTATCTTGATGTGAGCGTTAGTCTTCAAATATAATAAGTGTTAATAAGACAAAATAATATACATGATGATATAATAAAATAAGGTAGAGCTTATTACATATTCATAGAGTAATAATAATAATAATAATAATAATAATAATAATAATAATAATAAAACAAAGTAATTTTCCTTAATTATATGGAATTCCGATATAAAAAATAAGGCAGACTTAACAGTAGATTCTAAAATAAAAAACTATATTTACAAGTAACAAGATACAATAAAATAATTTTCAGTAAAACCTCCATATAACGGACTCTTCTAGATAATATCCGTTAAATGGAGGTTTTATCCAAGTAAGATAAATACCCATTCAAATTCTTTCCCTAATGTCCGTGTAAAGTATATTAAGGAACCTAACCTAACCAAAAGTCAAGTGTCTTTAAGAACATTTGACTCCGGTGATATTGAGAGAAAATCCTGTTAATATTCTTATAGCTGTGAAAATTAGCTCGCTGTATATGATCAATTATTTGGTTTCATTTAATATGTGTCTTTCCTTATCTGAACCAAACTTGATCTACTTTTGGTTAGGTTAGTTTGGCTTAGTTTAAGTTGGGTTAGGTTATTTTAAGTTAGGTTGGGCTAAGTTGGGTTATGTTAAGTTAGGTTTGGTTAAGTTAGGTTAAGATTTATTCTTGGACGCAAAAAGTTAAATACTGTTGTTCTCGTGAAGTTGTCTCGGTGAGTTGAGAACTTACCACAACTGAGAACTGTGTTGGTGTTCCCGTAGAGTTAAATATTGAGTTTTAGCTTGACACAGTACAGCACAACAGTCAGACAGCACAGTCTTGATACAGTCATTTCAGGGGCCATACTACAGTCTCACTCAGATTTATATTTGACTGTTAGTAAGCACAATATACGTACGCCTCTCCTTACTGACATGACTGATATTAGCCTGATTGCCATATTGTGGGATGTCTACTCCTATCTACCTACCTACTAGCCATAAGTACCAACAGGCATACACGGTGCGTTAACTTAGACATAACATATACACACATAACAGTGAACTTTATCCAACACAATTATAGTGAATAGTAAATGGTAGATCTATAATGTTCCCCTGAATCATGAATTATACGTTTCTTCGTTAAGCCATGCATCGTTTACCCTGAGGATACAGTGTTACAGTGATGTGTGGTGTAGCGATGGTGTAGTGATAGTGATGTGTGGTGTAGCGATGGTGTAGTGATAGTGATGTGTGGTGTAGCGATGGTGTAGTGATAGTGATGTTACAGTGTTGTGTGGTGTATCGCTGGTATAGTGATGTTACAGTGATGTGTGGTGTAGCGATGGTGTAGTGATAGTGATGTGTGGTGTATCGATGGTGTAGTGATAGTGATGTGTGATGTATCGATGGTGTAGTGATAGTGATGTTACAGTGTTGTGTGGTGTATCGCTGGTATAGTGATGTTACAGTGATGTGTGGTGTATTGCTGGTGTAGTGATGTTACAGTGATGTGTGGTGTATCGCTGGTGTAGTGAAAGTGATGTTATGAAACAGTGATACAATATTACATCACAAATCACACACTGGTCGTAGTAATTAGTACAGTATGATACAGTATATTACAGTACGTGAATTTAGATTAACAAATATGTATATATAATAGCTATTCTGACTGTGTGTGTCAATAGAAAACGGAATGAGGGCTGACAACTGGGTCGTGATAAAACAACAGTATAGTTTAATTCTACAAGTTGTGCCATTAGGTGTTAGGACAAGTTAGTAGAGACAACGTATGTGATTAAACTAACAGCAAAGGTTAGTTTTTTGTACGAGTATTACTGAATTAACGTAAATCTAATAATGGATGAGTTTCGACTTCACTTAAGATAAAA